TTCAAATCATTCACTCGACCAGGCCTACGGGCTATTTTTCAATTCGAATTTGAATCATTCACTCGACCAGGCCTACGGGCTATTTTTCATTTCGAGTTCGAGCAAACACTCACTCGACCAAATAGCCTACGGGCTGCATCAATTCGAGTTCAAATCATTCACTCGACCAGGCGTACGGGCTATTTTTCAATTCGAGTTCGAATCATTCACTCGATCAGGCCTACGGTCTATTTTTTTATTTCGAGTTCGAGCAAACACTCACTCGACCAAATAGCCTATGGGCTGCATCAATTCGAGTTCGAATCATTCACTCGACCAGGCCTACGGGCTATTTTTCATTTCGAGTTCGAGCAAACACTCACTCGACCAAATAGCCTACGGGCTGCATTAATTCAAGTACGAATCATTCACTCGATCAAGCCTACGGTCTATTTTTTATTTCTAGTTTGAGCAAACACTCATTCGACCAAATAGCCTACGGGCTATATCAATTCGAGCACAAGCAAACACTCGATCGACCGTCGAAAGCCTAAAGGGTTACATTGCCCCAAGTTTGAATAAACGCTCGCTCGGTTGTAGAGACCACGAGGTTCAAGTTCGACTAAGTGGTTTGATACATAGAGATATGCCTATACACAAAAATTATCTACATAGGTGGCTACAAAAAAAAAATTATTTTAAACGGGAGCGGTCTCTTCTTTATCAGGTTCCCCCCCGTTCTCGGATCCACTTTTGCTCCCATCGTCGTCGTCATCATCATCGGAAACCAGAGCTTCAGCATCAGCTTTGAGTTCTTTTGCCCTTTTTATCTCTTCTGTGAGATCGAAGCCGCGAGCATGAATCTCCTCGAGAGTTTCTCTCCTGGATCGGTACTTAGCAAGTTCGGCGACCCAATGCGCCCGACCATTGGCGGATTCGGCTGCCTCTCTTGCCTGAACTTGAGCAGCTTCAGCATCATCCCGATAGACGGCCACGAGCGCATCCGCATAAGTCTTTGCCGTTTCAGCATCGGATTCGGCCTTGGCGAGTACTAAGGCCAACCGAGCGTCAAGCTCTTCAATTTTTCTTGCTTGAACCAGGCCTTTTTCCTTAATTTTCTAAAGTTGGGTTTCAGACGATGATAACTGGGCTCGAGCAGTCTCTTTTTCTGCAGCAAAGCGGTCCATACCTTCCTTCCACCGCAAGGATTCCATCCTTATCACATTGACCTCCTCACGCAGCTTCCCTATCATCTCGATTTTTTGATGCAGCTGTGAGATCAAAATGTTAGCTACCATTCTGGTATCGAATCCATAGGCTTTCAAAAGCATCATTACCTGCTCAGACAAATCATTCTAGTCTCGATAAGCCTTGGCCAGCTCGGCTCGGAGATCTTTTATTTCCTCCTCTCTATGCCCTAAGGAAAGTTTGAGAGAGTTCCTCTCATCGGTAGCACGTTTTAGGTCGGCCGTGTATCGATGCAGCTCATTCTGGGAGCGAGAACATTGTTCTCGATGGACCTCTGCAGCCTACGAAGGAACAAGAATCGAAGTTAACGAAAGACGAACATAAAGGCAATACCAACAAAAAGATTTTTAAAAAACGGATCCTCTTCATCGTGATTTTTGACTCACCTGGTTCAAAGCCTGCCGCAAACCATGAAAAAGATCTGATTCATCACCAGCACAAGCAACATCCTCGATACCAGTAAACAGGTCACGAAACGGATCCTCTTCATCGTGAGGCCTACCTAGATCGAAGGCCCCCAGAGCTTGAGCTTCCCGAATCACCCCTGCGGAAAAAGCGGGAAAGGTAGGCGAGTCCTCGATCGATGCTGCCCCAAGTGACTCACTCAGAACATTCCCCTCGGCTTGGAGGGGTTTGAAGGGCTCCTCGATTGTGACCCCTGCCGGTTGATTCCGATGAGAGGCGTCTTCGACATCCGATAGTTCGGGGACTCTACCAAAACCTCTCTCAGGTATATTTTCAGTTCGAGACGGAGCCCCATAGGGCATCATCGATCCAGCCAGCGTTGAGGCATCAGTGGCTCTCTTTGTCCGGACTGCCAGCATGGATTTATTATCCTCTTCCTCTTCTTCCTCATCCCTTAGGCGCAAAATGGATTCTACGGTCAAAGGAATGACATTCTTGTTTGGCTTACGAGCCTTCCTCTTCTTCGGTTTTGGATATTCGGGAAACGAAGCTCTCTTCCTTTTATTTTCCTTCACCGGCTTTGGAACGAAGGTCGAGACATCCTCCTCATTAGACAGAGGTCTCAAGACCGCGTCCTTAACCAAACCTGCATATGGGAAACCTTATAAAAAATATCGAGAAATGCCTCGTCAGAGTCCAAGAAATGAGCTTACCGTGATTTTTGGCCTCCCACCGACCCTTAGACAAATCATGCCAGGAGCGCTCGGCGTATGTGGAAGTCGAAACAAGATCCCATACCCAATTCTTGAGGTCGGGAACCGCTCCGGGCATCCAGGGAACCGCTACATCACGAAAAGAGGAGTATCGATAAGGGAACAAATGAAAGAATAAAATAGAAGTAATAGCAAAATCACACTTACGTTTCAAATTCCACTCCTCGGGAAAGGGCATCTTTTCAGTCGGGATCAGGTCCGAAGTCCTTACTCGAACAAACCTGCTCATCCAACCCCGGTCCCTATCCTCGTCAATACTCAAAAACAAAGCCTTGGTAGCCCGAAACTGGAGTTTTATTAACCCTCCCCGAAAAAGTCGGGGACGATACAGTCGGATAAGATGATCGAGGGTGAATGACATCCCCTCGATTTTGCTCACGAAGTATCGGATCAAAATAACGATCTGCCACAAAGAAGGATGGACCTGGCCTAAGGTTACCTGATACTGTCGACATAAGTCGATAACGACGGAATCGAGGGGACCCAAAGTGAAAGGGTAAGTATATACGTTCAAAAACCCTTTCACATGAGAAGTGATGTCTTCATCAGGGGTAGGTATTACCACTTCTTTTCCCCCCCAATTGCAGTCCTTCTTTAACAGATCGAGGTGCTTCTCAGTAATCGAACACATGTACCTCGATACCGGCTTACACCGGCCAGGGACCGATGAACCTTTATCAACTTTAAAATCTGAAGTAAGGATGCACGCCTCGGGGACGCACTCCTCTGGCCGTGGCTCCGCCGGTGTCTCATCGGCGGCACAATGTGAAGATGAAGCTTTCTCTTTCTGAGGAACGATTTGCGATGTTTTTGCCATTTTTTGAATTCAAAAATAAGGAGTAGAAGAAAATGATAGAGATTTGGTGGAATTGGGGGGTCTTTTCGGAAGGAAATCACAGCTTTCTTGGTAGGCTGGAGAGTATAAAGAAGAAATTGAGAAATTTTAGAAGATAGAAGATGCAAAAATGGTAAAAGATAAAGGTGAGAGTTACTTATAGGTTCAAAGCGACGGCGGTTCATTATCAGCAGTGGCCGACCACCGCCTGACATGCATTAAATGCCTTAAAAAGACTAAACCGACAGGACAGCTATCATGTGTCATGGTCGAACTTGATGGAATCGACAAGATATAATTCGATCGAGCCGTTGAAAATCATATCGTTTCTCGCCATATTTCTTTCTGAGAAACGAGGGGACTATCTGTATACGGTCGAAATGGATTCCAGCCTTGGCATGTCCGGTACGGTTCGAAGGGTGGTGTATCGAAGTAAGATCTTGAAGGGGGGAACGAACTAACCTAGAAGCCCGGAGAGGCTGGTCCGTGTTGAGATCGATATCATAATCAAACTCGAACAAGAGTCGAACCATGGCGTGGGTAGATCTATCGTGCTGATAATCCAAAAACCAACCTACATCGACCTGGAATCCATCCGAGGGCTCGAACCAGGATCAGGCTCGAGCCAAGATCACGAGTTCGAGCCGAAGTCAAGCTCGAACCAAAATCGAGGATTCTAAGCAAGATCGAGCTCGCAGACAAAAGCCGTTGTAATACCACTAGAGGGAATCTTGGCAGAAAATATGGAAAAACTGATTTATCATGGGTCTCCCACTGAATGCTTATCTTATTATACTTGGAGCCAAACCCTTTTCACTATAAAATGGCTTGTTTTATCATTCTTGGGGGGCATCTTTTTGGAGTCAGAGACTATAAAAAACTGTATTATTTTCCTCTAGAAGAAGCAGTGATCTTTCTAGTTTCTTAGATTGATTCTATTTTATTAAATCCTAAATTCACTGTTCATAATTGATTCGCCTGGATTACATTTTCTCTAACCTCTATTCATCTTTTTAGCATTCTGTATTAAGTTGTACCACATATCTTCGGAACTGCGTATAAATTCAACTATATCCATTTTTCCGGAAAACAAAACCGATTAAGTAATACGTCTTGAGTGCAACAGTTTTACAACTTCAGAGAGTGCTCAGAGAGTGCAAAAGTTTTACAGATCTGTGCTCAGAGAGTGCAACAATTTTACATACATTTCATACAAACTTTAGTGCAGTTTATACTGATGTCAAATTTTTTGTTTCTCAATGCTCGTATGAATTGGGCCGTGCTTATTAAGGCTTCTGCGTCTCACTTTAGCTTGTCGTTCTGCAGATTGTGAGAAAATGCTAGTAATTGTTGCAATCTTGCCTTTTTAGTATCATAGCTTAAAAAAGTGATAAAATAAAATTAACACTTCTGCTACACTGCAGATTTTATATTGTTTCCTGGTCCCTGAACTTATTGTGGCACGGAATTATGCCTATTAGTGCTTATTGTCAAGTTGTTAGAACTGGCATTCCCGTTGAGATGATCAAGTGGATGTCTGTTAGGAGCAGTTGAGCAGTTTAGAAGGGTGGAATGTTTATAAAATAGTCTACTGACATTCTTCCATTACACTCAATATACTGTCTTGAGTACTGTGCCTTGTATAGGAGTTGCATAAATTTCAAGAAATGATCAGTTCTATAGTAGCAATGAAGAATGAAGAACGTGCTTTTTAAAGCTTTCCAGAAACAATAGCGCACACTAATTGCTTGTTTATTTGCAGAAAACGTCCGAAACCAATATTGAGAATCGAAACAAGTTGAAGCATCCACACACTACTGGCAAAACAGGTTTTGCTCTAATCATCTAGGTTTGATTTTTTCTCTTATTTTTCTTAAAGTATGAACTTGTTAACTTTGCATGAAAAGATTCTTATACCAGTTTTCATGTGACTAGGAAAAAAAGTAGGAAATGGCTGATACTTCGGATATTCTATCAAGCAAGGACATCTTTGTGGCTACAAGAAAAAGAAAACCTGGTCGAGTATACAAAGGCTCTTATGAGAATACAATTAGTAAAATTGTAAGAAATTTCTAATTTAAAGTTTGTCGTGATTATTTATTTGTTCTTAATTATTGACTTAGTTTTATTTACTTAAACTCTGTTCTCTTGCATTTGGTTTGTAGGCTGAAATGGAGAGAATACAATCAACTCAAGAAAGTGGAGATGACAGTGATGATGCGTTTGCATCAGTCATGGGACCTGAGCACCCAGGTCGGGTAAGATTGTATGAACAAGGAGTTAACAAGACTGTCTTAAAAAAGAAAAAAGGAGATTTTGGATCCTCTGTAAATGCTACTGATGAGAGAATGCAATAAAAAAATGGAGGAAATGGAAGAGAGTATGCAACAAAGAATGCTGGAAGAGTTGAATGCACAAAAGGAAGCTATGGAACAAGATATTATGATGAACGTCGTTACACGACTTCAACGTCTCAACCCCGATTTGAGATTTGATCCTGACATGCTAATATTCAGTGCTCGTGCACTTGGAGAAGCTTCTTCTGCACAACAAGATCTATTCAACCAATCAATCGTCCATCCGCTGGCAGTAACAATCAAGGTTAGTCCGTACCAAATGTTACACGTCTTCTCGAGAAAAGAGTATGTTATCTCTTCATTTTATTTGAACTCTTTATAATAATTGTTGTAATTGAGGCGTAGTTGATTGAAGATTTCTACTGTTGCACTAATCTTGTTTTGGATGCCTCGGAGAGTGTACAGTACTTTGAATTTTATGCCTAAACTAGTGATCTTTTGTGTCGCTTGATACTCGATTTGATTTATGTTCAGTAACTGCTTTTCATTTTCGACTAACTGGAAGTTGAGTATTATGAGTTTACTGAATCCAGCTAAATCCCATAACTCTTTTGGTTTGAATTTTATTTCTATGAAGCTGAGTCCATTGCATTTTCATCACTGCTTCGTCTACGAATTTTGTTTCTTTTTTCTTTCTGGGGATCATGTTTTAGTTTGATTGGATAAGCAAAGTAGTATTGGAATGATTTGGGTGGAGTGGAATGGTTTCAAATGATTAGTACAGTCGACTCTGACTTCCTTTAGGGGTTGAGGTGAAGTTGTGGTTGTTTGGTTTATTTCTTAGAAAACTAGAAATAAGAAACAAAAACTGGCATTATGAATTATTTTCCAGTACCTTCCTTCATGGTGTCTTCTGATTTCACTCTGGTTCCTTTACAGTCTTTGAGCGGTTATATACCAATGAATATTTTGCTAATTTCCAAATTTTCTCTCCCCACTTCTGCTTACAAATTTTATGCCATTATTTTTACACTTGTTACTCCTTCCGTTTGACTGGACAATATATAATTNCCTTACTTAAGAGAATTTTGAATTGTTGATTGTTGTAGATGCATGTGGCGGTTTCTAGGAATGTTTGTTATCAAAACATTTTAAAACTTTTAACTCTTGAAATATCAAATGTATGTACTTGGTAACATTTNGGTGGAGTAGATGAAGAAATGGAAGACGGAGGCAGTGATGAAGATCTAGACCTTACTTAAGAGAATTTTGAATTGTTGATTGTTGTAGATGCATGTGGCGGTTTCTAGGAATGTTTGTTATCAAAACTTTTGAAAACTTTTAACTCATGAAATATCAAATGTATGTACTTGGTATCATTTCGTCACTTCATATATGGATTTGTTGATTATATTGTTGGACGATTTCGATTATGAATAGTTTCATTTTGTTATTTATATAAAGTTTAGTGTTTTATAATTTATTGTATATATGTGTAAATCTTTATTTACAACAGGGGGCAATATTTTCAATTCAATTAAACTGTTACAATAGCAAACAGAACCGTTGCCATAGGACCTGCAAACCGTTCCAAAATAATCTAAAAGCTGTTGCAATAGGTAGTTCAACAGTTGCAATATCATAAAGAAATCGTTGCCATTTCTACAATAGCTGTAACAGTTTAATAGATATAGTAACGGTTATTTACCGTTGCATTTAATGTTATGGTTACGGACATTAACCGTTGTAGTTGATAAGAATAATCGTTCCAACAGGGAAGAGGGAAAACCGTTGCGATAGACCTTACTATAGCAACGGTTATCTGAACCGTTCCAAAAACCATTCCATAAGCTCTATAGGCACGCCAACTTGTGGAACGGGCGCTGAACCGTTGCAATACCTCTATGGCAACGGTTGACCTATCTGTTGCAACGGTTTTCCATGCATAGCCATAGGTAAATTTTTCAGTAGTGAAGGTTCATCATTGTAATATCGAGCCATGGTATGACGAATATGCTATCGAGCACGAAGACCCAGAGACAGACCAAGATCGAGATCGGCCAAGATCAAGATCGGTCAGGATCAAGATCAAGCCAAGAAACAAAAAGCCGTCACAACCGCAATTAGGGGGAGAATCTCGGCAGAAATCACGACACGTATCAAGAGGCCGATTAATTAGCCCATCATGAGAGTCCTTACTATATTTAGAATTGTATCAAGAGTAGGACTTCCCTACTATATAAAGGGGGCCTGATCATTTGTAAAACACACCTCGTACAAAAGCAATATAATACTCTTTTCTCAAGGTTCTCAATATTCTATTACTTCGCTTATATTTCCTTTGTTGTTTTATTTGGTTCGAGGGCCCAAGCTACATATCTCATTTGGTTTGCTTTTATTTTTCTTTACAGTCAATTTCAATATCAGTTTGCATATTTTCTCAGTTTATGCCAAGTAAAATCACGTGTCCTTAAAACCACATATAAATTCAATTGTTATCTACTTTTAGGATAAACAATATTATTTGATTGAAAATTATCAGATAAATTTGAAAGAATAATGGTAATATTTATCCTAAGATAAAATAAACTATTCATTAAAATATTAAATAATATTTGACCAACTATTTAACCAATTATTGGTGAATTGGTCTTACAGTAATTAACGGGCCCCTAATACTTATTGAAACTCTATATGGAAAAAAACAGTTGTTGTATTTGTAAACCCTCAGAAGCACAAAAAGTAAAATGTATGGAGGTAATATCTGTCATCAAATGAGATAGAAGATCCCCTTGTAGTTAGGCGCTATAGCTGCTACTACACAGAGAAACATCATTTCCAAGATGGTGCATGGAATTATGAAGAAATTACTCGAAGATGTGTTTATTTATATACTTTTGAAGCTTCCGGTAAAATCTATTATGCGATTCAAATGTATTTCTAAAACGTGGTACATTCTCATGCAATCCTCCACATTCATTAACCTTCATCTCAATCGTTCAACAAAGGCAAAAGACGAACTCATTCTCTTCAAGCGTTCTTTTCAAGAAGATCCCTTCCAACATAAAACTATCTTGTCTTTTCTTTTCGGTGTTGATGATGGTTATCTTTATCCTGTTTCACCAGATCTGGATGTGCCATACCTGGAATCCACTTTTAGCAGCACTTATGATCAATTTATTGGACCTTGCCAAGGTTTGATAGCTTTGATAAATATCGTTGACACTGTCTTATTCAATCCAGCTACTAGAAATTATAGGTTGGTACCACCTTGTCCTTTTGGAGTTCCACAAGGTTTTCGTCGTTATGTTGATGGTGTTGGGTTTGGCTTCGACTCTATTGCGAATGACTACAAGGTTATTCGAATTTCCGAAGTTTACAATGATCCTCCTTACAGGGATCCATTTACGAGGGAAGTGAAAGTTGAGGTTTATGATATGAGCACTGATTCTTGGAGAGAAATGGAGCATGTTAATCAAGAAATGCCCAGGGTTTATTGGGCGCCTTGTTCTCTAGTATTTTACAACAGTGCTTGTCATTGGCTTGCTATTGCACCCAAAGACAAAATGACAATTCTTTGTTTTGATATGAGCACAGAGACTTTTAACAATATTAATATGCCAAATACCTGCAATTCCTACAACGGCCCGTGCTATGGCCTAGTGGTCTTAGACGAGTCTATAACAATGATTCGTTACCCTAACACAAATCCTGAGTATGATGCCGCACAAGATTTAATGCAGATATGGATAATGAAAAGGTACGGTGTATACGAGTCTTGGATCAAGAAATACACAATTAGACCTCTTCCTATTGAATCCCCATTAGCAATTTGGAAGGATCGTATGATGCTTTTGCAAAGCAGAAAATGTTTTTTGATTTCCTATGATCCTAAGTTTGATAAAGTCAAGGAATTATATTTACATGGTTGTCCTAGAAGCTTGAGAGCCATAAGTTACAGAGAAAGCTTGATACAAATTCCATGTGGAAGCGAGAACAGTACACAAGTTCAAAAATTTTAGAGAAGGTACCACTCTTCAATTTTAAGTTGATAAGTATCTTATTTTCAATAATATTTTATTCATCGAGTTTTGAACGTATTTTTTTTTTTATAGTAGCTAGCTTATTCACTAATTATGGCTCTACAAATACTTAGCATGTCACTGTAGTTATGTTTATTTTTCTGATGTAGTATTGTAGACATAAAATATTTGACATATCAAACCTATATAAAATTTGAGCTAAATCTTAAAGTTAAGATACCACATATTGTGCCCATCCTTGATCTTGAAACCCTAAGGCCCATCAAGAATTTCATAGAGGCTGCTCTATCCGAATCACACCTATATAAAGAGATACATATTCCCTTGAAGAGACATCTCGATAAATACTATAAACTCTTGGAATATTCACAAAGATCATCACGAAAAATTTCAAAAACTCTTGGGATATTCACAAAGAGATCATCTAAAAAAATCCATAAACTCTCGGGATATTCATAAATAGATCAAGATATAAAATAAAATCGTGATCAAGTGACATTCTTCTCGATAATTATATACTTCAAGAAGAAGATACACACAATGCTTGACTTTCATGGAGATCAAATACATCCAGAGGAGTTCTGCAAAATCCTACGTTCGAGAAATACGTCATTTCATGTCATGACCCAAAATTCACAAGTCATGATGGCACCTAACCCAACCCGCTAGGTAAGTCAACGGTCACATGATTAATAATGAAAGTGAAATAACATAGTCTAATAACTCAACATCGGAAAAATACCACAAGATACCTGAGAATAAAGTCAAAATGCTACTACAACCAACCCCGAAATCTGGTGTCAACAAGTACACGAGCACTACTGAATAACACGGTACAAAATAAATCCTCTAGTACAATTGTCTGAACATGAGAAAAACTGAAAAGATAAAGGTAACAAGAAGAGAAATTCAAGGACTGCGGACGGTATAGCAGCTACCTCGTAGTCTCCCAAATAGCTGGCAAAACTCATGCCTGAAAATAACCTCGGCGGGATGTACCTGGATCTGCACACGAAGTGCAGAGTGTAGTAGGAGTACAACCGACTCAATGTACTCAATAAGTAACAACACTAACCTTGGGTTGAATGCAGTAACGAGCTCAGAATAATAGTCAAGTGCCAGTACCAATAACCGATAACAGTTTAGAATAATAAAGGATAAACCATAGAAACATGAGATCAATGATATCAAGTATAACTCGTTTTCATTTCAGAAATTTATGCATGTTTTCAAGTATTAACAATTTAACACCCAATACGGATAAGGCAGGTCAATTACCAGTTAGCATGGGGAAAGTACATCTCTATGCCTAAATGTCAACTAAACACGTAAATCAATAGTATCACAGTGTATCCATCAATAGTATTTACACTTAGCACTGTACGGGTGCCTGGCATAACTGCCATCATCAAGCACACATATGAAACAATGTGCCTGCATCCACTGGTGATATGTCAGACTCCGGAGGGGCAGATCCTGCCCAAGCACTAATTCTATTCACTTAACCCAATAATGAGGCATGGTGCATGCGTCGCCTCAAAACAATAACACTCAGCCAATATGGGTCTGACATACGCGTCACCTCAGAATCAGTACCAAACCGGCTCTAAGGCCCAAACTCAGTCATTTGCCGTTCAAATCTCAGATTAACACATCTCCAATAATCAATTATTTTACCCTTAAGAAATATCAACAACATGTGAGGAATCAAATAAGAAGTACTGAGACAAAGATATCATACACGGATATAGTATTATGACTGAGAAGATGTGTGCAAATAAGGTATATAACTCAGAAGCAACAAGAATATCCTTATCAAGTCTCAAACAATTAACACATAGCCTAGACATGATGTCTAACATTATTCACAGTTCAAATAATCAAACAAGTAGAGGGGGCGCGGGGGTAACATGGTACGATAGCAAAACAAGCCCGGTATTAGCCTAAAGGCCTCCCCAAACTATGAACAAATCGGTGCACATACACACGCCCGTCACCAAGCGCGTAAGTCACCCCAATAACTTTCATATAACGTAATACTTAGGGTTAAATACCCTTAAATCCAAGTTTAGAAGTGTTACTTACCTCAAAGTACGCAACTCAATGCTCCAACAAACCATTGCCTCACGAATCTGCCTCTGAACGACTCGAATCTAGTCACAAACAACTTAATTTAATTAATACAAGCTATAGGAATAAATTCCATACCATAAAGCTAAGATCTTAAACCAAATTCAAAAAGTCAACCCAAAAAGTCAACTTCAGGCCCACGCCTCAGAACCCGATAAAACTCACAAAATCCGAAAACCCATTCAATTATGAGTCCAACCATACCAAAATCATCTAATTTCGATCACAATTCGATCCTCAAATCTCCAAATCTTACTCTCCAATACTTGGTCTAAAATCCCACAAATTTCACCTCAAACACACACAATCTAGGTGTAAAAATAAATGGCTATTCAATATTTATTGACAAAAGTGATCAAAAGTCACTTACATCTTAAATTGTAGTGAAATCCCTCTCAAAAACCGCCCTAGCCGAGCTCTGCAAGTCCAAAAATGAAGAAAAGACTCAAACCCTCGATATTTATGTTCTGTCCAGCAAAACCCCTTCTGTGGTCAAGATCACCGCTTCTGCGGTCAACCATCCGCATCTGCGGAATTCACTTAAAAGCCGACCCACCGCATCTGCGGTCCCTAGCCCGTACCTGCAGATGCGCTTTTGTGCACAACTATCCGCTTCTGCAGACTTCCCAATCCAGCTCCTGCTTCACTTCTACGGAAACAAGTATGCATTTGCGGGCTCGCAGATCGGGAAATAATCTCGCACCCGCGGCCCCTGCCCTTAGGGCTGTTCATTTGGATCGGATATCCTAAATCCGAACCGATCCGCTCAATTTCGGATTACGGATTTCGGATATTTGGATCGGATTTCGGATTATGTTTACTAAAATTTTGGATATTCAGATCGGATTCGGATTGGTATAATTTTAACACGATCTGATCCGAAATCCAAAATTATAAAGGCAAGTATAAATACTAAACTTTAGTTTCAGATAGTTAGTACTTCCTTTACATCTTCCTCCAAGTTATTACCTTTACAATTACTGGATTTAGCTATATTGGCACCATATTACCCTCATAATTACATAAACATAAATTTTTCTTGCTGTATTGCCTCTTTTAGAAAGAAAATATACGTATGAGTTTGCAACTTTGAGGCACAACAACTCGAACCTCCAGAGAAGTATTTTCTTAGAGATGCAATGGTGATAAAAGGGATAAAAAGTAAAAAGATGTTTGTATTAGCACATAACACAAAAGAAGCAGATAAGGCAGATGCATTAGCCGATTAGATTAGCAATAGCCTTAATAATACGTATAATCCGATCCAAAATCCGAAATATTGATCTGATCCAAACTTTAAAATCTGATCTGATCCGATATTAATTCAGATCGTATTCAGATTGTATTTTGTAGAATCCGAAATCCGAATCCAAAATGTGCTAAATGCGATCTGATCCAATCCATGCACAACCCTACCTGCCCTGCTCACCTAGAACCGCTTCTGCGACCCCTTGGCCGCTTCTACGGCTCTGCACCTACGGCCAAATCCTCGTAGGTGTGATTACGCCAGATCTGCTGCCATCAGAAATTGCATAAGTCCAATTCTTACTCCGATTTCAATCCGAATTAAACCTGAGGCCCCCGGAACCCCATCCAAACATACCAACACGTCCTAAAATATAATACGAACTTAGTCAAAGCCACAAATAATATCAAACAATATCAAAAACAGGAATCGTACCCCAATTCAAGCCAATTGAAACTAATGAATTTCCAACTTCTAAAACTAATGGCGAAACCTATCAAACAAACTCTGATTGACTTCAAATTTTTCACATAAGTCATTAATCACACAACGGATATACTCCAACTTCCGGAACGAAAATCGACCCCGACATCATCAAATTCAACTCTAGATCAAACTTTTCAACCTTCTGTCATGACCCAAAATCCCTCCTTAGGAGTCGTGATGGCACCTAGTCTCCAAGACTAAGTAAGCCTACCACATACTGAGTTAACAATAGATTTAAACCAATTAACTATTAGACATGAACCAGTAACTTTTATACATAGCCAACAACCATCAATAGATGTACAATATCTCAAAACCGGTAGTACAAGTCATAAGCCTTTATAGAGTAACAGCGACTATCAAATACATACATCACTATTTGGAATAGAAATAATAGCACAAAGTAATAATTCAGAAAGTGACTTCTAGGCCTGCGAACGCGACAACAGGTATACCTTGAAGTCTCTACCGCAATATTCGATAAGCTATCTAATGACCAGCATGCTCCGAGATACCCAGATCTGCACAAAAATATGCAGCAAGCAGAGCATGAGTACACCACAATGGTACACAGTAAGTATCAAGACTAACCTCGATGTAGTAGTGAAGAGAAATAGTCAAGACACTTACTAGACATAACAATTTATACATGTAGGAATATAAAAGTAACAGGGAACAATGTCAGTATAAAGCTAAACATGGTAATAATAATAATACAATACTTGCAAATGGAAACTAGAAGGAACAATTAGCAACAAAGAGCAAACATGTAATAACGCCGTAAAGAAAGCAAAATACAACTAAAGTCTAGTGAAACAAAGTAAGGAAAAACAAGTAGCAACCCAATAATCAACCGCTCTCACACAAGGTTTATACAAGAATTGCCTTGAGGTACCACACCTCATAATCACAAATCACTAGTCCCAATTCACGAACCGTAACGACTTGGCATTTTGTGATGACATTACCAATCACAACCGCAGGTGCAACTCACGTGCTGCAAGGACGACTCATTTGCCAATGCTATTAATACCTCATATTTGCACAGACAACTCACGTGCTAACAATATCAATATCTCATATCCGCACGGACAACTCGCGTGCCAATAGTACAACT